AGCCGAGCTGCGAAAAATATCGAAATCGCGATAATCTCAGTCAGCAGAAGCATCTTTACACACTTACGCGCGCGTACACATTCAATGCACCTTCTGCTGCTGTATCTTAACTCTAGAAAGACTAACTTGCAAGAAGGATCGTCGGACCCACCGATTAGAACATCTTAAAAATATGTTATTCGTATATGTTATCTTGTGAACTTCGTCTAGAATATTTGTTGTCGTTAACGCGAATCTCCGGTGGTTATTCTAACAAAAAATTTAATACGACGCATAATTTACAAGCTATTTGAGGTGAGTATGTCACGTACCTCAATCTGTATATATGCAAATTATTAACGATATAAAATACACTAGAAACATTAGTGTAAACTTTTTGGTCGAGCGATTCTTTCCTAACATGCGAAACTGTTATTATTCATGAAATACTCGTGTCTAGAGATCATCTTCCAAGGATAATTATGAATGACATGGGTGGGCTCGAGAAACTTCTATGCATGAAGAGGATTATCAGTGGTTTACCTCCAGGTTTGATTGACCATCTTTCTTACTGGTTTTTCTTGTGACAAATGCAGTCAATCAAATAGTGAACTTACAATGAACCTTACCCATGTATGGCCATTATACACGCCATTTAATAAAGCTCAGTCTTTCTAGGGTTAATTTAGATCGTCTCACCCGAACTTGGCCAAATTGTTAAGATTTTACCTTGACCGCGTTTCTCTCGTATTCCATGATACGTGTGAAGGCGGAACATCATTAACCTTTCATCGTTCATCGTAGACACTCGTGTTTGTTTAGAGAAGAGAAATCCGTACCTCTAACCGCCCCGTAGACGCCCGTTAACGCGATAGGAATAGACTCGTGTGTAAATCAGTGCGAACAAGCTTCTCGAAGTACCTCAACCTTAGCCCTCCAATTTCTTTTGTCAACTTAGTGGAACCATTATCTTCGTTACATTTTTACTTCTTTACTTGACCATAGTCTTTTTATTCAGCTATTTCAATCGATTAGTTATCAAGGAGATAGGATATAATCTACATACGAAAAGTATGTAACACTTGTACGTGTGTAATACATAAAAAAGTAACTCTGGTTTTAGCAAACTGTCAAGCAATTTTTAGAAAATAAATAAAGGAGTTAAAAGAGGGAGGAAGATATTCGAAATTAATTGCAATTAATTGTTCAATAAATTATAAATCTAATTGGTTAATGCTCAAAATTGATTTGAACTTTGAATTTTGGCGCCTATGGCATTGGTTGAACGCATGGGCGAAAGTTCCGAAGTTTCTGTCGACATAGGTTGTAGGTGGTTGTAGGTTAGGTCCTTCGCGAACGTGGTTTCCTGATCGCAGAAAATGATAGAATAACGCGAAAGCCGAGAAAGGACGATCGAATCAACTCGATTCAGAGACAAAACTCGCGTCGAATGTAGTTTAATTTCGGTGTCGTGAATCCCAGCTAGAAAATGAAACGTGAAAAAAGTAATTTTAGTCGAGCGTTCGAGTGAAGTTAAACAGAACCGCGCACGACTGTTGTGCCAAGTATTGAGAAGGACACGGAGAAACTAAGATGTGCCAAATTAGCGTCCGGATTCGTTTGTCCATAGAGAAGTCGAATATCTTTTCTTTTATCGCGGGAAGGACGCTCGAAATGGTAGAGAAAAATGTACGAGAAACACGCTCAACGGGCACCTTTGCATCCGTCATTATATTGATTCTGTAAATAATTGTGCACTTGTATAGAAAAAGAGATGACGAGTAAGACGTTTCATCGTTATTATTATTCTTAGTATTATTATCATAATTATATTATTATTATGATTATTCTCTTTGCTATTGTCATCGTATCACCCCGTACTCTTTATTGAGACATGGCCTTTTAGGCGATGCGAACAGAAGGTCAGTACGATTGTATTTTTAAGCGGTCAATCAAAAAACTTCGACGGCAGCATTTTGATTTACGGATGGATCTGCGTATGGAATGCTTTGGTTGCAGCATCGTTAACATGTTACATAGTGTTTCCACATTCAAAGATTAGTGATATGTTTTGTCATCGATCACATGTTATAAAACTTCTAGCAACAACGACACTTATTCAAACTACAAGGAAAACTAGTATCGAGAATCTGCTCCTTATCTTTCCGGTGCGATAAAGCATTTCATCCCGTTAAAAATACTTTTTTTTAAGTATTACTTGTAACTAGAAATCCACCGGCACTGGTGTTATAAACCTTTAATTTATAGTTGCGTATGCAAGAAAACTCATGTCAGTAATCTTTGCATGGAGAAACTGCGTCGCGTAGGGACTGCGAATTCTTTGTGTCTTTCAGATGTTGTTATTGTGCTAACTTCTTTTATCTCGGGACTGTGTATGTTGTATATTTTTGAACCTGTAGTTACACAAAACTGTTGCATCACCAGAAAACATTACGCGAATCGTTGAACATCCGTACGACTATGTTTACTTTTTAATGAAAATGTGTGATGGTTGCTGTCTCTCTGGATGCCTGAGACATTTATACTCGTTAATCTGCGACGGACGAGAACCAATAAACATTTTTCGTAGGTAAAAGCGATTAAACGCAAGTACTGTGCGTAGCGTGTGATCACGATCGAGATATGCCTGTCAAGCTATGTGTACATTACTACCGCTACTAACGATTACGATTTCTTTTATTCGACGATCAGATTCGATTTTATGTGTAAAATAAACGTACAACTTGAAAGAGGAAATATAATATGTATAGGGATGCATATGCACGTTTTGTATATACGGTAACGGTATATACGCGCGCTCGTGTGTCGCGAGAGTCGAAGGACAAACCGGAATATCAAAATTCGACGTGTATTTTGTTAAAATTCTCTTGTTGTTGACTTCTTCGGGGAAACTGTACAATAATTTTACGCGTCGTTCGATTTCCTTCAAACTCTTCTTCTATCGCGTTCCTCTTCCAACGTAATCAGATTGTACCGATATGACAAAGAATGTGAACCTAATATGTTCACTTTACATGATGCTTTTGGAATTAAGACGTACACGTCATTTGCTTGGTCTCGTTACAATCAGAAAGCACGGATTCCCTCGTTCGACTGTGTCAATCCTCATAAGCGTTTAGTCGATCACTACATGGCGTACGGTGAACATCCATAGGTGTTCAGCGACTGTGCTTAATAAATACGACTATGGTATTCTCGCACACCGGCACATGCCAAGCCTTCGAATTTCAGAGACAACTACCGAAAGGGTTGATAGAAGCGATACCGTAGAGTCATAAGGTCGTTTAGAAGTCGCTGGTGTGTTAGATTAATCAAGACTCATATAGATCGTTCCCTCGAAGCGCTCAACTGTCGATGACGATGTTTCTTTTTATTTTCCTTTGAGAACGGGACGATACATATTCGATTAATTTTGTTACGGGGTGGACCATGCGAAGTATTCAAAGCTGTATTTGTAGAAATATCAAAAAGACAGTGATAACATTTTCGATTTACAATACTGTCCCTCAGTTTGTCACCGTTTGATCTTCAGCTTGAGACTATACCGAGGGACAATACTGTATCAATTTCCTGGGCTATTTTACGTGACGTGGGGTGTCACAGCCATGCACCCCAACGAGCACGTCTCAACCTTCACTTTTAAACGAAACAGCGTAAATATTTTTCAAACGATGCGGTGAAGAATTAAAATTCAATGAAATAATGAAAAATAATTACACGTTTTTGGAATGTAGTTGAAGTGTCATTGTCTTATTTGCATTTTAGTGTTTCTTAGTTGTTTATTCGTTTAAAGCAGACATGTCATATTTTATACGTAAACGGAATTGTTTTTGATAGTTCCCGGGAAGATGATATGCATGGACCACCCTGTACGAGAGTACGAGAACATGCGTTCGCGAAAGAATCCCAAACGACGCGCGGTATAATTAGCAATAACACGAAGGTAATGTATTGTACGCCGAAAGAAAGATCAGTTGTGGAGAAAGATACGACTGTAATGCGTCATACATCCTTAGTCAGCCTTCGTAAAGCGTCCACGACTAGGCCGAAAATTATTCAACGTCATCCGCATCGTCTTCACTTACGGTACCGCAATTACGCAAGACTGATCTTTCTTTCTCCAAGCAATACAGCGTACGACGCAAGGAAACATTCTAAAAATAAAAAAAAAAAAATCAAGTATTCTTCCGAAACACATTAACTACACACTCAAACACGAACACAGTTATGCATTGTACCATTAAAATAGGTCGCAAGCGGAAGAAAGAAAAATGGGTGTTCGAAGAAAGGGGTAGCTAGCCTCGCGAAAGAAGAAGTCACATTCGTCACGGAAGAGGAACACACCCGTGTAAAGACGCGTTCAGATTCGAGAGCGAAGGTAACCAAAGGTACACGTGCCTTCGATCACCTGGGCGTGTACGTTGCACAAGATTCGAGCACATGTGCCTTCGGTTGCCTTGATTCTTCTGTTTGTACGCGTCTTAATACTAATCCATGCACGCGTGTTGGGAAAGAAGCTATCCCGCGCGAAACAAAGAAGAACGAAGCCTGGAAGATGCATTTCGTTTTGGAGCGGAGGTCTTGGGATTGAATTCTATTCGCGATTAGATTGTTGTTACTCGAGCGGTGTTGTTGTAAATAGAAGACAAAACGAAGATTAGGCGTCGTATAGATGAATATATACAGGAACACGTATGTATACATATGTATATGAACGCGAGGACTTCAATCCCAAGCCCGAGATATCCCGAGCTCGCGAGAGCGTCGCCGTTTCACTCCCTCCAGTTTCCTCCATATTCTGTTATATATATACATATATATATTACGTTAAATAAAAGTTACTGTAATATTTCTAAGGTCGCTTGTGAACTTCATACAGCCCGAAGGACGAGATTTTATTTTTTCTGTTCGTTTCGTTCTAGGTCTGCTAGTGGACTCCAATGAGGTTTGCCTGCCATCTACAGTCTGTGGTGCTAATTAAAATTACATCACCACTATAGAGAGGAGAATCGAGATCAACTTTATGTACCGAGGTTTCAGTAATAATACAATTTTTGTTTCATATATTATTTCGAAAATATATAACCTAGGGCCTATTAATCGTTCTTAATATGCATTATATTAATTCTAACCTAACTTAACCAATTACTTTGGTTAATATTAATTTCTAAATTAGAGTTTAACGATTAGTCAAAGATATGCATATCAATTACTTGCAGAGATTTAATTTTTGGTCCACTAGAAAATGTATAGATCCCTTTTTTAGTTATTCAAGCAAAGAAAACTCGTTCGATACTCTCGACGGTTCCTTTGATCAGTCGTCTTACCAATATCGACGCTTTGACCTTTATACAAATTTTCTTTAGCCTTCGTGAATGGTTTCGCGTTTGATTATTTTTTAATGAACGATGAAGGGACGTTCAAGACTCGATAGGAGCTGATAGCACGAAGGTAATCGAGAAGAGGATATTCGATTTAGTTATCGAGATTTAATCTTTCATGTTGATTCAACGATACGAAAGTGACGTGGAAGGGAAGAGGGTTAGGAAATAGAAGTAGAATATTTAATTTTGTATGCGAACAAGATTCAAATTTATGAATAAACTCGACACAGTATTCAATGATAATAGATAACTTAATTCGGGTAAAAATATACGAATAAAAAATTGTCGAAATTAAATTTCGTTGGAAAAGTCGCGTATCTGAAATTTCTAATTGTATACTTAGTCTCGTCAGAAAATTCCGTCACTTTTCTACTCGAATGTGATAATCCCCGAACCAATTTATCCAGATCATCGTACGTCGATCGAAAGGCGTCGGTACTCTTTCTTTCATTTATTTGACAAAAGTATCTTCTTTTCATGTTCCTGAAAAAATCGTTGAAGAAAAATAACACCGTCATCGTCATAGTGCAATCTGCGAAAGGACAACGCGAACAAGAAAAGGGTAGCTAGCGATGAATTGAAGTCGTTTCGAGTTCGTTTAAGCAAAATCTTTCCAAGCAGTCAGTATATCTTTCAGCCAGTAACAACGAAGGACCAAGGTACAAGCATTTTCCTCGCTTTTATTCGTTTAGTTTGAAAAAAAACATTTTCTTAATTTTATTCGCTTGGATTACAGAAACATCTCCCTACCTTTATTGATTTAGATTAAAATCTTGTTCACAGAATTTCCTTATGAACTATACTATTTATACAATTGAGGCGCTATAGTAAATATGGACATGACTCGAATAGAAATGACACGGTCCCCTGCCGATTGTATTCTGTCTCTCGAATTCCAATTAACGGAGACAATCAGGTTGTTGAGTTGAGAACTGAGGTCATGTTTGGTAATTTCTTGTTTTCCCTAACCACTTCAGACTCGTCGAAAATTTCTATAAAACTACACGTATACCGTAGATTCTATTAGGTAGACCGAAAAGTAACGTCGTTTCTTTTACATTAAATTCAAACTTTTTAATAAATTTCTATCTTTAATTCATTATATAATCGCCCTCATTGTCAGCAGCCTTTCGTCACCTATTGTGCAAATTCTCAATGGCAGAAAAATCAATGAGCTGATAAATGATAAACAAGTATTTGAGATGTCAAAAACGACATTACTTTCCAGTCCACCTAACATAAACAAGTAACATGATCTGTCGACTATCCTATGTCTTTGTCTCATTTAGAGTTTATGTAGGTTGCAGTTTATCATTTACAATCGACAGTTTGCGGTGCATCAAACACCAGTTCAAGTAACCTCTTAGCAATTGCACACAATTTCGATAAACTATTAACAATGGTAGCGCAAACAACCACACCAACGGTTGTGGTCGTTGGACCAACGATTCCACACTTCAACTTTAAACGACAGCCATTTTAATTACATACAGTTCAATTAACATCTGAAAAATTACACCGAAATTAAACAACCAGTTAACAGTCCCTCGCAATATCCATCTACAAATCCTTCGCTCAACCGCGTCATCTTCATCCCTTCTGAAGCTCCCTCAATCAAGCTCCACGTTGCTCTGAATCTCTTTCCCCCACCCCGTGGCCCTCTCCTCAAGTTCGAAGAACCCCGACATTCGAAATCTCGCAATCGATCAGAAAAGTCGGCCGCAGTCGGTCGTTCGGTTCCGTCGTTCGCGTTTCCAGGCCATCGCTAGCCCCGAAGGGTGGCAGAAGCAGTGTCTTTCCACCCACCGCGACTGGTGGGGATGGTCGCGCGCAGGGGGCTCGCGGGTGGGCGTTCAAAGCTCGTACGCGCATGTTTCTTCTCCGGCGGAACCAACGGATCGATGCTGGAAATAACTCGAGCCGCAGGAGAGAGTACGAGGTGAGTCGGCTTCGCTTTCGGCAGGGCCTTTGCGGCTCCCCCAAACGCCCGCTTTTCCATCCGATTTTCCAGAGAACGAGCGAACCGTCATCTATCGCACGCGTCACGTCTCGTTCGCACGCGACCAAATCGCCTCGCCATCGTCGATACCCACGAGCCGTTCCGCCGACGGAGCTCACTCCCCACGGTAGCATCCCCGTCGAGCCTCTCTTCCGCTTTCCCTCTTCCGTTCAGTGCTGGTTCGTCGATAAAAGTGCGCGACAACCGAGAGGAGCGTTGGTCTATCCGAGTCGCGGGATGACTCGAAAAAAATGTGCGTCCTACCGATGTGGCTGACGAGGCTGGAATCGTAAGTACAGTAGTTCGCTGGACGAGCGAATCGAGACACGGTTAGGCCACCTAGAGACCACGTAGAAGCGACACCCACGCCTCCCGTCGACGATTGATCCACGGTGTAGCGTTGCACCCCTGCTTCCCTCGTTATCGCTGCTGCCGATGATTTATTCCTTCAGGAATGTTCGTTTCGGAAGTATCCTCGTCGGGTATGGTTGCGTGGATTCGGTATTTTCTTTTGGGTGGTCGGAGGTACGGAAAGCGAGTCGGTCGCTGGATGGGTCTTCTGGTACCATGGTTGCGCAACAAGCTTGTAGCTCGAGGAGTACGGGGTGGCTTTATATGGAAAAAATTGACGGGACTCTCGTCGGTGGATAGAGAAAGGGATAGAGAAAGGGATAGAGAAAGTCAGTTCCATAAATATTCGTACCCCTATATTAAGCTTTTTTTTAACCCCAGCTCAGCGACATCGAGTTTGATATTTCATACGAATACGTTGAAAAATGTAATCATTAATGTGGGAGATAATGGAATCGTATTGGTTGCTTTAACGTAAAAAGACACCGTGGAAGACGTCGAAGTAATTACAGTTACGAAACGTATTAGTGATAGGTTCGATGTTTCTAAATAAATTTTTCACCGCAAGTATTACATAAACGTGTAAAGTCTATTTTTGTACGTGTTTCTAACGAAACATCGTTTTGTGATTTCGGATGGTTAGAACTTTCGGCTAAAATTCTCGACTAATATTTGATATATACGAAAGTTGTCTACGTCACTCGTAGGGTCGGCCCCCAGTGTCTCGCTAGAGATCTTTGTTCTTGATAGCGACACTTAGAGAACAAAGGTCTCCAGTGCATACCACGTACAATGTTAGGTGTCCACTTAAGAGTTTTAGGATCATGGCAGGCGCTATCAAGAGCAAGGGTCATGGCAGACTATCCTCTGAGTCGGCATTTTGTTGTCGAGTGTTTTCTTGCGTCTCAGACAGGGTTCTCGATTATTCGCTAGAAAACAATAGGAAAAGGGACCGCGAATAGTTCGTAATTTTTACTCTTGCAACAATTATTACAAGAGTGGTCACTGCCAAAATTTATTACATAGACACTTGACTCGAGTACAGTAATGTCCATCAAGTTAAAACTCGGTCGGAACCGGACCGTCATTTTATGATGGATCCTCAGGGGCTGTAGCATGCTAATACGCGGATACAATACGGGTCTAGCAACCTCGAGGTACCCAAGCTACGATAGGGGTCAGTGGGCCCCAACAAACGTGAAACGAAATGTAATGTAAATGTAATGTACGGAGTGGTGTTATGATAACGCAAACTAAGCGTGTCGTCCTACTGCAGAAACGCAAAATTAAGGATTTATACAACACAAATTAATTGAAACGACTATGTGTATCGTTATAATAAAAAAATGATGTACGGATTAGAGTTATAGTCGATAAAACGATTTCGTACTCTAATAAAGTAAACAAAGACTCGTCATAATGACCAAAGTCATCTAAATTTGATGTACATTATTGTATATACTCGGATATTAATGATATCCTAAGTATTCACTCCGTTTAGTGTAAATTTGTTTCTCTATTTAAAAGTTTCTCTATGTGCAACATACCACACTATTTAGCGTTGATTGCTTTCGTTATAAACATAAAAATCATGAAGGGTCTATTTACCAACAGGTGGTCACGATACCATCCTTTACTCTAACTGTTATTACAAAAGTACAAGCTAGCCAATTATGACACGAACACGTGGTTACTAATAAGGGAAATTTGGCAACTGGAAAATTTCAATTTTTTTTTTTTTTTTTAAATCGTGCACATTCCTTTAACTGAAAACTTATCATTATAAATTATAAGTTTGACATGCACAGTTTTATTTATAATTTTTCAAGGCGAAGCAAAGTTTACATTACATTAAACGAAGGTAGCGGAGAACTTTTCTATTGGAAGAAACATTGTTCTCGTTTTAATAAATTATCCATAAAAAGCACAATAAACTATTAGCCTTTTGCTTTAATTATTTGGTTACACCTTTAATTATTTGGTTACTTTAGTTTCAACGACGTATCGATAAAAGGGGAAATTCATACATGGGATATGTTCACCCTGAAGAAAAGAATATAGTAGTTACTGGAGAATCTCCTTATTCGATAACTCTGACCTATTCATTTCGTATGACATTTACATAACACATTGCTTCATTAAATGCGCCATTAAATATCACTGTAGGTAACCTTTTTACCTTTTTCGTTACACGAATTTCTGAGAAACGTATAGACCATATAAAAAAAGGCTCCTTGACTTTTTGGAGCCAAAACGACCTCTCGCTGCGTTCTTCTTAGGGTTTCCCGATCCGCGGGAGCTGACGCTTATAGAGTTTCCTCGGTTGGGTTATACATAGTTCGCGGACCGTCCACGCGGCCGGCAGCTTCTCACTTGTTTTCGAATCGATCGGTAAGACGACGTGGGTGGACGAGAGCAGCCGTTTCTGGGGAAGACTCCTCGATGAAATTTCACGAATGGAGCTAGATGAAGGGGGAGAAGGGTGTTGTAATACTTCGATGACAAAGCGGAGCTTTCGAGGGACATTGAAAGACATATTTTAGTAAATTTTCTAGCGAATATTGAACAAAATAGCAATAAATGGTTTCTTGGGACTATAGTAAATATTGTTGAAGAAAAAAAAACAGTACATGTTATTGTTAATGGTAATTGGATCAAGCCAATCCATCGAAAAGAGTTCGACTAACCTCGAGTATGTTGATTTGGGTGGCACACAGATCCTAAATTGTTGTGGAATTCGGTTTCAAAGTTGCATCCCAGTCAGAGATTCCTTTTTCATCGGAAGTTATCAAATTCTTTTCGTGTGAAATCCATTTCCCGTGGCCGGAACCACGGTGCCACGTTCTGGAACTACGAGGGGATATTTAAACCAGTTCAATCGTGGCTTCGCAGATGTAGCTGACGCAAGCAAGTGATCGTTGCTAAGACGATAACGAAGCTCCTCGTTAAAAAATGGCTTGGTCGATGCTACAATTGCGACCACCGTTTAATTTTTTCTGTATGCGAATATTCGTCCAATACGGTGGTACAAATGTTCGACGAATTCGAATAGTATTCGAATACCATTTAACACGTTGATCGCCATGTCACCCATATTATATGGGTGACAGTGTTTCTCGCTCAAGAACTAGAAAGATTAATTCTGAAAGTTAGACGTCACAGGAGATGAATCTAAATGAAATTCATGAGTTTTAATGTGGTTACGAAACCAAATACCACGATAAATATTTTATTACCTAGACCTCCGATAGTCTAAATAATATTTAATCTTGGCAGAAATTTTCAAGAATATTCGTTTGGCAGTCAACGTGTTAAACAGCTGAGTATCCGACTACTGTTTGGATATAGTTGAGTACTCGAGTACTATTTGACTGATCGAGTACATGAATACAATCCGAATACTTGTCCTCAGACCAAGTATCCAGATCACAACTGGGACTACTTGTTCCATTATTACACATGATAGGCATGATTAATTCTCATCGTTAAATTAATCAACAGTTAAACATTTGAGGAAGCAAAATAACCGGTAAATAATGAATAAACGTCTAGAATCAGTAGAGACCCTATGAATTTTCCTAGGGCCAAAGAAGAGACAAACGAGTAGTTACGTAACGAATATAGCATATTCCTCTTGCTTCAACAAATTAGCTAGGCTTCGTCAGGGTCCAATAATTAACTCGTAACAAGTGTCGTTCTCGATTCAATTCTCCACAGGGGCACGAAACGTACAGATCGATAATCTCTGTTCAACCCAGTGACGCGGCGCGAGCCAAATTTAATTATCTGAATGCCAGAGATAAGAATACGCGTTATCGTGTATCGAAGTCGATATTGCGTCCCATTTCGATCGTCTCCAGTATCCGCCTATATCGAAGAGAGGGTTCTTTCAAATTTCATGGTTACAATTTTTGTCAATCTCAAGAGTTCTCGAATACCAACACATTCATCCAAATCGAATCAGTTTTTACATTTTGCTCCGCCATATTGGATCTCTCCCTGTTGCCTAGGGACCTAGCCCTAATCCCTGTTCCATTTGTAAAATTTTTGTGTTCAGATTTAGAATCAACACCTCCGAAAAAGACTATTTTGTATGTTTCTTGGAAGGCATCTTTGATTTTAGTTTCGTTTAGTCTTGTATCCTGTCGTCCGGAAACGAGAACGCTTGCTCTAGGCGGAGACGTCGAGAACTCGGTCGATTCATCTCCCGTTATCGATTCCAACTTCCTGGCGTGCTTGCACTGCTTGCAGGTGCGCTGCAATCGGTTTTAGTGGAGCTAAAGGGGGAACAGCGATAGACTGGGAGTTTGTTAGCATGTCAGCCCACACGACACGATTACCCTGCAATAATCTGGAACACGTGCTCCCTCCCCCAATTATCGACAAAATTTTGTTCAGTCACTCCTGGTCGACCACCCTTCCATTACCCGTTTCTACGAAACCGTTGGCTGGTCGAATCGCGAAGTTTTTTTCGTGCTGGCAGCTTGTAACGGTAGTTGTCGAAGGATTGCAGACAAAACTCGGACGAATGTACATATATTTCCTGTTCTAAGAATTCACAAATGACGAATTTGTTTTTTGTTTTTCAATGTTCTTCCATTACCAGAAAATCGAAGACGCTCGAGTCCTTCGAAATTTCGTTATTCTTATTTTCATCCGTAAACGAAACGGATTCTAGCGAAATGCGCACATAGTACGGCACTGCGATCGATCAGGCTGTCCTGGCAACGATCCCATGACGCGTACAGCGAAACGTCCGCGGAAAAGATTTGTATCAGCTCGATACAAAAATCCCAGATAACGACTCCATTGTTCCGCCAAGAACGTAAAAACGACATTTCTCCAGCACCCTTCATCGAGTTTTACCGTAGGTTCGATCGTTTCCAACGACTCGCGTCGTCATTGGCACCGTTTCTCTGTTGTCGACACTAATCTAGCGAGCAGCGATGAAAGGAATCTAGTGACATGCTCGTTAAAGTGGAATCCCGTCTAAAGGCGTGATTTCTGGATAATTTCTAGGATGTTTCTCTGTATACTTTTAAGATGGAACATCATTTTTCGGGACCAGACAATCTTTGTACGAGTCGTCTTTACTGGACTGTAACTTTTATTCTACGCTCTCTCAGACCCATCGCTACCCGCGAGGATGAGTGCACCGAACTGTATCGCGATGTGTGCGCGCGTTAAAAAAGAGTCGAACGAATTTAGCACTAGGCAGTCATAAGGAGTAACCGGCTAAATAAAGATCGGTAGTGTGCAACAAGTATTCGAGGATTAGGCAAAGAGTAACGTGAAACAGTTCTAGAGCTGGCCTTCGTTCATTTTAAGACGCAAGACGACGATTTCCCGAGCTTAGCATAAATCGTCGAGCTTACGATTAGCGTCGCATCGATGCTGGAACGGATCAACGATTTTCGAGGGGTCCAGCGAACTCGAAATTCCGCGTGAGTTACCATAAGCCGTTGAGTGCTTGTCTGTAAGCGGTCGACAGCAACGCTCAACAGACTTTACAGGAACTAACGGGAAAGTGTACCACGAAGAGTTAAATAGGACTTATACCGTGACACAAAGTATCTGTATTGTAATGTTATTTTTCCGTGACCCTTACATTAGGTGTAGGAATTTATTCTGTTATCTTCGAAGGAGAGCAACTCATTCCAAGTGAGCACATATAAGCCGTAAAAACAAAATGACGAGTAAATATTTCTATTTAAATTAGGATTCTAATATTAGTACAGGCACAGGATTCATTTCTACGCTTAATATATCGGTTTCGGTATAGCTTTGTTGACATAATACTGGTATTAAAATCATACCGTTATAAAGTCTCTCGTTAAATCCTCCTCGCTCTCCTTCAGTAGACTCAGCCGATTGGATTCCTCGTCCTGTCTCCTACGCTTACAATTAGAGATTGCTTAACAATTTGCTAATTGACGAACGTGCATAAAAATCGCAAAACGAAAGTGTTATGTCCACGTACGCGTACACACGCACACCAACAACAAGTAATCCAGAAAGCCCACTTCTGTCGCTCTGTCTTGATTTAAGAGAATGATCCCAGGATTAGAAATTCACCTCAGCTTCAGCACGGCGAGTCCTGTAGTTCCGAAAAGGTCGTGCAAATACAAACAGTGAACGTGATTGGTTCAGTTTCAGTATACTTCACGGTTGATTAATAGCACGTTAGTAGCACAGTTTGTTTCGTGTAAGTAGCTCACTCCAGATCCTTCGAAGGAGGATCAGAAAGGGTGGTCAGATTCAGTATGGCGGGCAACCGGCTTCACGGTTCCACCATAGAATCCACGAGCAACGGAGATATTTGAATGTTCCTATCTAAATTCACCGCACTGTATATTACGGAAGACTAATCCAAATCCTAAACCAATGCACCATGACTTACTAGCCTGTTTGCACAAGGACGATTAGTTAGCGTAAAGGAAATCAAGCATAGCGTGGAGCTTGGATGTTCAGTTCTGTGGGGATTCCCCAAGCTAATTGGGATTGCTTTCGTTTTCTTTATAACTGGGTCGCGTTACAGTCTTTGACTATATAAGTTTGGACTGCTAGTCCCTCCTCCAAAAATCTCAAAAATGAAAACAAATGTCACGGCATAAAACACGATATTTTCCACTATTTACGAAATAGAATCACATCTTAAATCTGCCATTTTGGGTATTTCATTCTTGACGTCAAATTCCTAATCAGCGACTCGAAACCCCCCGATATGTAAACTTTCATTTAAATTCAAAAACTTGTTCGACTTTCGGTCAGCTTTTCGAGACTTTATGCGTTCCATTCGGAAGTGAACATCCTCGTTTGGCGGAACAGATATTGACGGAGCTCGGGGTTCTAACAGAGGCGCGATTCGTTGGTTGCAGAGGCCTCGCGCGATCCACGGTAGCTCTTAAAGGATGCACAAGCTAGCCAAGGGCCTGAAGAAGAAGAAAAAGCAGAAGAAGGGCAAGAAGGGGGCAGAGGAAGACGAGTTCGATCCGGAGGAGCTCGAGAGCTATAGGCGATCGCGGGCATTAGCCCAGACGAAGGTCGAGCCATCCGGCGAGGAGGCCAGTAGCGCCGGTTCCGACGAGTGGAGAAAGTTCGAGGCTCTGACAGCTGGAGTTGACTCGATCCTCAAGAAGACCCAGGGGGACCTAGATCGCATCAAGTCGACCTCGTTTTTCCAACGCAAACCTCCGTTAGAGGAGAAGAAAGAGAAGGAAGGGGAGGAGAGCCAGGAGGACACCGAGAAGAAGTCCTCGTCGAAGAAGTGGGTGGGTTTCGACGAGGAGGGCAACCCGATCGAGGGGGAGCCGCCTGACTTCGAGGGGAAAGCGGGCAAGGAGAAACCGTTGGTCAACGAGGACGGTTTCGTCGAAGTTCCAGACGACGACGATGAACCAGAGGTCTCCGCGGACGAGGACATCTTCGACACCACTTACGTCGACGTTCTCCAGAACATCGACGTTCAACTAGCCTACATCCCGGACAGCCCGACCGAGGAAGAGGCTGGGGACGATCCGTTCGACACCACCAGCGCGGACAAGGTTCTCAAGACAGTAGACAGCAAGGGGAAGAAGGTAGTCAGCCTAGGGAACGCGGTAGAGGTTCTCTCCGGGAGAATCGATTACGTCAGCACCTGTAAGATCTCCAAGAACAGAAAGCCCAGGCTCCAGCAGGACCTGTTGTTGGACGACTTCGACGAGCCAGTGCCGTCGGAGGAGAACGCAGCAGTCCCTGAACCCATTCAAGTCGAGAAGACCTTGCTGGACGATGACAGCGACATTCCAGACATACCTGTAGACTTAACCAAGCTCCCGCCCGTTTTGCCCAAACCCGTTATCCAGGAGAGCGCTGCAGAGATCAAAGCGTCGAACAACGAGCCGCTCGACATCTCGGAGTTCGAGATTCTGAAGGAGAAGACCATCTTGGAAGAGATTCCCGATTTGGACGACGCGGAATTCGACCTAAGCGCCGCACCGGACGAGGTTCCGCGCCTCGAGGAAGCCGAAGATCCGTTTAGTAGCAAGGAACCGGAAACCGTAGATTTCCAATCGGAAATAATAGAGGCCAGCTTTGAGGCGGCCACCTTCGCCAACGAGGAGGATCCTTTCGACACCACCTTCGCCGATAATATACTTCCTGGAAAGACAGAGCTCAAGTTCATCGAGAAAGAGCTAGAGGAACTACCCGTCTCCGAGGTGACGATCTCCTTGACCGACCCAGCTGGCCTGCGCAGAGACTACGAGACAGGTTTACTGACCGCCGAGAATGGCGGAGCAGGTCTGCAGGCGAAGAGAGATCTTCTAGGAGGATCGACAACCGACTTGAGCCAGTTGGTCGACCAGCCCATAGCGCCGGAGGAAGACATCACTTACGTTGATCCGTTCGACACCTCGACAGTGCAAGAGATTCCACCTGGACAGACGGAGCTGAAGTTTCTGGAGAAGGAGCTACTGGGCGACCAGACACAGGTCCCGAGTGCGCTAGAGGACGACGATTTCGATCCCAGGAAGGACGAACAGCCAGCAATAGTCGAGGCGACACCACCCAAACACCCGTCTAGACCGCCACCACCAACCGTAGCGGTTCAGCCAACGTTCGCGGTTGACTTTGTCGAGCAGGAGGTAGCAAACGACGTAGCTGAGTCGGGGGATCTCGAACGGAGAACCTCCAGGCCAGAAGCCCTCGAGTTGGCACCCGCCAAGTCGGTCGCCTTCGAACTACCAACGCCGTCCAAGAGACCGGACCTCCTTACGACCTCGGAAGAAGAGAAGACCTTGCCCTCGAAGCCACTCACGCCGTACTACTCTCAGAAATCCATCGAAGAGTCCATCCCCATCGAGGAAGAAGAAGTGGATGTCGATCCGTTCGACACGAGCTTTGTAGCTAAGGTAGTTAGATAGATGTTTAAAGTATGCTTACCGTCTGTTGCCTATAGAGATGAAAGAATCTACATATATCGACAGAGAATTGGACATACAAACATAATAGAAGTTTGAACACTTGCTTGTACCCCGTCTGACCTTGTTCCAAAGTGCTATCTTCGGACACCTTTTTTTTTGCGGAGGATATATTCGAATTAATAAAATTCGAGGATGACTAGAAGGTTAACTCTTTCGTTACGGCGGTTCGGATATATCCGGCATTCGGAGCGAAAGGGTTAAAAAGAAAGTCGGATAGGGCATATATTTATACAAACACGTCGCACGTTCTTTTCTCTAGTTCTTTAGTTCTCTAGAATGGCAAAGTGTATCGATTATCAAAACTCATCTGTCGTTCACACTTATTACGTTGTTCTCCTCTTTATCGTGAAGGTAGCGCCGGGGAAGACGGAACTAAAGCTAATCGAGTCGGAACTGCTGAAGCAACAGGAGTCTAAGTTGCCTCATAGCCTCAGCGATCACGATTTCGATCCCAGAGGCGAGAACGAGCCGACCAGAAGGCAGAGCGATTTCACGGCCGCCTCTATCAGGCCGAGCAATTTGAAGATCAGCGAGTTGCAGAGCTCCGTGCTGAAGAAGTTCGAACAACCGCAACCAGCCAAGACACCCCAGCGTCAGGAGAGCCTACTGGACGCGGAGATCGAGGTGGACGCTAAGCCGTTGACGCCGAGGATCGAGTCGAAGCCCATCGAGGAAGAAGAGATCTCCTACAACGATCCGTTCGATACGTCCATCGCCTGTAACATACTACCAGGCAAAGCAGAGCTGAAAGTGCTAGAGAGCGAGTTGGAACAGATCTCCGGCGAGGTTCCCGTGCGTCCTGCGCCCATTAGCTTGACGACTCTCGTCCCGACCACGGTACCGGAGATCGACGACCTCGATCCCAGGGCGGAGGTGTCGAAGGAGGCGCAGGACTTTCTGTGCATCGACGGCCAGGACCCCGGGGCGAAAGTCCTCACTCCTCTGCAGAACCAAAGCTTTTCCTTGGACGAAGACGTTGATCCTTTCGACACCAGCTTCGCAACGCTAGGACCAGGGAAGACCGAACTGAAGCTGCTCGAGTCCGAATTGATGGACAAGTAAAGAGGCCGAGGATAGCTCTCCACCTGCGCACTTCTAAAGACTCTCTGCTAACAATTCGCGCGCAATTTCACGAAAGTAACAGCTCAAGTTAAGTTAGTCAATTAATTGCATCAGTCATCATGGACTCGAAAGGGGGAAATCCGTTCCTGATGGACGACTACGGGGCCCAGCCGGACGACCGGCTTACGGGCCAAGCAACCTCGAATCCATTCCTTCAGGACTTCGCGCAACCGGAGACGACAGGCGCTGGCGAGAATCCATTCTTGAACTTCGCCGCGGACCAATCGTACGAGCCCTCGGTTCCCGTCGACTCGACGAATCCCTTCGCCTCGTTCGGCGTGGACACGTCCTCGCCGAGCACTGGCTTCGACACGACCACCGTCACCGATACACCAGCGACCAATATATTCACTAGCCAAGCGACGGATATGTTCGTGACGACCGAGGACGAAGCGAGCGCGAATCTGTTCGCTGCTGAAGTCCCGTCGCAGACGCCCCAAGAAGTCTTCGTTCAACCTGCAGATATTACAACTTCGGTAACATCACCGCCTCAACCGAAACAGGCAAAGCCAGTGCCGTCGAGGCCGCCGCCGCCGCCGCCTCCGCCGAGACCTCAACCTCCAGCACCTCCCAAGCACACAAAGGATCTGATCTTATCCGTGACTGGAGCCATGGATGCCACTTCGAATCATCTCTTGGATCGATTGCAGGTTGGTCAATTTATTCAGTTATTTATGTTTCTCTGTTCCTCCACAGAATGCTACAGATATCGCTCCAATTAATCGCAAAATCTACTCGCCCATTGCAGGCAACCAGAACACCTAGTCCTACTCTGATGCACTCTCCATCCCCCACTCCGGAGCACAGTTTCGCGGACCTCCTGGACGTCGACTCGAACGTGCCGGATCTGTTGTCGGACGACGGTCAAATGGGGGAACCGCCTCAGAACCAAGACATTATGGACCTGTTTGACGCACCGAACACGGACACCACTACCACCACTATCTTCTCCACTTCGATGACTACCGGAGGCACTACCAGCTTGGTCACCGGAGTAGCTCTAACCACTACCGCCACAACTCAGGACAATCCGTTCGCGAGTATGACCGAGCAAGAGATATCCACTGCTCAGGGTGAAGATGGTTTCCAGTCAGATTACCCCGAGACCGCGTCCATCACCAGCGAGAAGAGACCGTCCGTTGCTTCGACGACAGGCGGACTGGGAAGCGAGGTTGTCGACAACATCGGATTGGACTTCTCCGCGGAGGCTCCAGTCGTCCAGGAATCGAGACTTTCGATCACCGCCGCTGAATTGTTCTCCGCGGCTACCGCGGAGCAGTTTACGACCGCCACCACTGAGTCCACGTTCTTCTCCGTCACGGAGACGACCGCCTCGGCGACGTTCGGTGGAACCGAGATCACGCCCACACCGTTTTCGACGAGCTCCGCGCAACCACCTGCCGTGGAGCCTCTATTCTCTTCCACGGACATTAGCGCAACCTCTCAACCTGGCGGACCGTTCGCCTCGGACTTGCTAGGCGATTTCGGAGCGCCCACCGCGGACATGGGCATCTCGGCAGCCACCAGCCCGATGCCCGCCTCCGAATTTCCTATGAACGAAGCATATAGACCCGAGGAGCAGCTGGACAACTTCGCTGTCACCACCAAAGCCATCGAGAGCACTGGCGACGCCTTCGACATCTTCGCCTCCAAGTTCGATAAAGCTGCCGAACCGGACACCAACGCGGATCCGTTCATGGACGCCTTCGGTGGTGGGCCAACTGCCATGGATACATCTAGCGACGGTGAGTGAATTGGCGAAGCAGATACAGGAACCCCGGGGTTTTAATTAAAAAATGACAAAATATATATGTATACCATAGGGTCATGGATACATAGAAACTAACAGATTCCAACCTCCAGCAGGTAGTCTCAGAAATGACAAGCGTTATATAGCAGATGCGATTCAGAGATTATAGATTGTGACATTTTTCGATAATCTTATTTTTTGTTTTTGCTTAAATAACGATTTAATGTCTTTAAAATACAATGCAACAGGTTTCAGTTTTCAATGAAAATTATTTCTCGAAGTAGAATCAAGGTATGCATAATAGGCTGGCCGATTTTTTAAGTACTTTGAATTTTATTTGCAGACAAACTTTATGATTATTATGCAAGCAATTACACCTATAAGGATTCTTTTTTTGTTATTAATATCATTCTTTAATCATCTTCTACAAGAACTCTTAAGAAAACGTAACCATTCGTTGTGCTCAGTCTGGGGCGACTCGTCCGTGACCGTGTCGGAAACAGCGACTGGTTTCGGGGAAACTGATGGATTCGACTCGTTCCTGAGCATGACCGCCCCGCCGCAGGAAGCAAAAGTGAAGAGGACTGAGTCCGCGGATTCCGACGATGGTCCAGACTTCAGTGTATTCATCAAGCAAGTATCCACAATGTAGGTTAGAAATTATCCAAGGTCACCTCGAGTACTAACTCGTCATTTTAGACCAAAAGAGGGCGATCAGAGTGGGATGACCGAAGGTGGGCCTGTTCCCGTGTTGGCTCCTCCACCCAAGAGCCCGCAGAACACCGCGTACGCTGATACCTCGCCAAGATTCAACCCGTTCGACAAGTCAGGATTCGCCCAGGATGCCGTCGTCCCTGAAGAGGGCGTTCAGCCAGCAGAGTTGACGAGGACGGACTCTCAGGTAACGATTTAACTAAGGCTAGATCCATTCGATTGTTAGAGATCTTTTTTTGTTTCAAGTAGTCCCAGTGCTATCTTTAACCCACTTGCGCCAACGGATATAAAGTGTTGAGCTACCGACATAACGGAATGCGGATAATCGTGTAATCCTATAGATGACACCTTTAAAATTCATTTGCATCGGTAATCCACATGTGCCACAGGCTATTTACGGTATCGATTCATCAGTTGACGAACAGCCCGCATCATTGTCAGTTCGATTTTCTTCAAATCGCCCACGCCATCGATATAAGGGACATCGACGACGTGTCGATACGTCCTTTTATATTAATGGCGTCAGTACCTCATCGATACGTCCTTATATCAGGTGGTGAACTTAAGGGGTTATATTCCTTCAGCTAGTGCAGAAATGCACGGTATTTAGGAATTTTTTTATATGGTTTATTGTAAAAAATTCAATATGTCAATGCTATATATGTTTTAATCTGATTCTTAATTACGTGAAAATAATTTTTGTTGATAATTTTTTCTTAATATTTTTAATAATATCCAAGTCTCCGTAAACCAGTTGCTGTAAAACATTGTCTCTTGATTTACACGATTCCGTCATGTAGGATGAATGAATCTGAAGATTTCAAAAGTATTCTTGCAAAATGATGACGTCGTTATGATCCATCTTTGCCAGATTTTTGAATTTCGAAACACGTTTCGAATTCACAATTTCGTTTTCAGGAAACACCACCCACTCCCTTGTTTGACGAGGACGTCAGCCAACCGCTAGAGGACTTTCCAAGGATAAACTTCACGGGCGAAGGATGGGAGATGCAGCTGCGCCAACCGAACAAGAAGAAGATCACGGGTCAGCGATTCTGGAAGAAGATCTTCGTCAAGCTTGTCTACCAAGGCGACAACCCGGTTCTGCAATTGTTCAACAACAGCGAGGACAAGGACCCCTTCCAAGAGCTGCCTCTGCTGCCCTGTTACTCGGTCTCCGATATCGGCGCTCAGCAGTTCGATCAGTACGGCAAGATATTCACGGTGAAGCTGCAGTACATCTTCTACAAGCAACGGCCTGGAGTTCGACCTGGTCAGGTGACCAAGGCGGAGAGACTGACGAACAAGCTCAGCCAATTCGCCGCGTACGCCATCCAGGGCGATTACCAAGGTGTGAAGGAGTTTGGCAGCGACTTGAAGAAGCTAGGACTGCCTGTTGAACATGCGCCACAGGTACAATTCTATTCGTTTATTTGCTTGGATTGTGAAGTCCTTGGATTGAGCACCCTGCAATATGAAAGTTCTGATTTGAGAACTGAAAGAGTAGATTCTGTGTACCTGTAGATACCCTTCTGACCTGACAACGAATATTGCAGGTCTCCCAGCTGTTCAAGCTCGGCTCCCAAAACTACGAGGACTTGAAGCTGTTTTCCTGCGCTATCGAGGAAGCTCTGTTCAGGCTGTCCGCTCATCGAGACCGCGCCCTCAATTACAAGATGGAGGAAGTCCAGATCACAGTGGTGGACGAGCTTTATGTCGAGCAGAGTGCCGACGGTCACGTGGACAAACAGATAGCTCGCGTTCGACTCTTCTTTTTGGGTTTCCTTACGGGTAAGAAGCCTTCTCGAGGATGTATACCAAGGGGAGAAAAGAAGTAAAAAAACATTTTGATAACATATGACATCACTTCAGGTATGCCTGACGTTGAGCTGGGGATAAACGACATGTGGCGGCAGGGGAAGGAAGTGGTGGGCAGACACGACATCATACCAGTCGTAACGGAGGAATGGATCCGTCTAGAGAACATCGAGTTCCACGCGTGCGTCCAGCAGGACGAGTACGAGAAGTCCAGGATCATAAAGTATGCGCTCCTTATTAAAGTTCGTTATGAAAAACTTAACTCATCTAACAGCTATATTCTAACTGGAAATACTAACTGACTGTGGTTAATCCCTGACTAACCCGTTTGAAGGTTCAAGCCACCCGATGCATGCTATATCGAACTTATGAGATTCCGAGTAAGGCCGCCTAAAAATAGGGAGCTTCCCCTTCAGCTTAAAGCCGTAATGTGCGTTACCGGTAACAAGGTAATGTCGCTTCACCATCGTGGAATAAAATACGTAAACTTTCTCTAAACCTCTGCAGAACCTTGCTAACAGTTGCATGAACAAGATGACCGTGTCATACTGTCGAAAATGTCTCCGCAATGTGTCATTGGATCGCATCCACGTGGATTGACTCTGTTCTTTGCGTCATTAGGTAGAGCTGAGGGCAGACATTCTCGTGCCGGGGTTCGCCTCGAGAAAGCTGGGCCAGGTGCCCTGCGAGGACGTGATGGTTCGATTTCCTATCCCGGAGTGCTGGATATACCTGTTCCGTGTGGAGAAGCACTTTAGGTACGGGTCCGTGAAGTCTGCTCACAGAAGAACCGGGAAGATCAAAGGTATAGAGAGATTCCTGGGCGCAGTCGACACGTTAGAGCCACAGCTAATGGAAGTCACCTCGGGCCAAGCCAAATACGAACACCAGCATCGTGCTATCGTTTGGAGGATGCCTAGGCTACCGAAAGAAGGCCAAGGTACCTCCTCGTCATTCTCATAAACCATACTTATCGCAAAAACGTTTCTTTCGCTGTACAATTGATTGTTTTTCATCGTTTCTAGGAGCATACACGACGCATCAATTGGTCTGCCGCATGGCTCTAACTTCTTACGATCAGATCCCTGAAAACCTCTCCGAGTACTGTTACGTGGAGTTTACGATGCCAGCGACTCAAGTGTCTCATACGACCGCGAGGAGCGTTAGTCTTCAGAACAGCGACAGCGACGCACCGCCGGAGAAATACGTCAGGAACTTGTCGCGACACGAGTATAGGTAACTGAGAAGTACACCTGCACACGAGAGAAAATTAAGATCCTAGCTCTATTCCGTCGTCTCACGAACCCTACGCTTTCTTCGGATTTCAGAGTTGGAATCGAGCACACGCAGGGTGAAGGACCGGGTGCGTATTTATCGGCGACGAAGAAGATCCCTGAATCGACGCCAGAGGTCCCCGCGGAAGTCACTGATGCACCTGCGGAGTCCGACTCGGATTCCTCCGAGTAATCAGCAGCCGGAGCTGCTATGTAAGGTAAAACAGGTTCGACGCATACAAAATTCAAGATGCATTCATTCGAGCGGTTAACAGTTACTTACTAATAATAGTTGTTAAAAGGAGAAACGTAAAAGCTCCTGTTCTATTGAGGGTCTACTACAGAGGGAGAACGATGCCTGTGACTCGACAGGGGGCGCGGCGTTTCGCGAATCGTCGTTTGAAAAAGAAAGAAACGCAACATATGTACCTTGATGTAAAATAATCGTGTAATCCGCCTGTAAGCGAAGGTGATTTCCCCGTAGCTTCGAACGCACATCAATATTAACGGTTAACGATATCATTCGCGTTGCTTCGTTCGTTTCAGATCGACTCGACTCGCGAGACGCCCTTAGTAGTGTTGGGCAGAACGTGATCCATGATTATAACTACTAATTAATCATGATTAACAAACGACCGAAAAGATTATAAATTGCTAATGATCGTAGCTTACAAATATAGTTTGCGATTACCGATTAATCCGACAATTTCGATTGCTACAAAAGTGATCGTTACAAAAATAATCGCAAAGGAATCACTGTCCAGCTCTGGCCTCCACCCGCGCG